ATCAACTAGTACATGATTATAACATCTTTAAAAAAAAAATTTGTATTATAACCATGGCTAGATTTCTACAAGTAAGTATAATAAGTGATATCAATCCTGTCAAATACTGTAAAAACTCAAATAAACGAGCCATATACTATGAAGTTGGTTTAAAGTGAGTCATTGAAAATGGTACAGAGAGATGTCTGAGATGTAAATTTAGGAATTTGAAATGACATGATTTGGATTGACTTAGCAGTAAACCTAACAACAAACTATAAAGCAAACAAAAGAATAATGATGATTGTAGTAAAGTTATCTGTGAAAGAAAAGCTTTTCCAATGTTCATCATTTATCTTACTATATATACAATTCCTATATACATTAGCTTTAACTCCATTATAGTACTAATAAAAGATTATAAGTTTCAGAAAGTAAATTTTAGTGAAAAGATTTAATTCATTTGACTCTAAACCTAGTATCTTTATAGCATGTTATTAAATTATTAAGCAGATAAATTATGGCTGATTTAAAAATTCCTACCTAAAACATGAATATTTAAAAGCTATAGTCTCCTTTTCCAGCATCTGAAATTGTAAAAAAAAACCCCTAGTAACTATTTCTCCTACTTATTCTCTTTATAAACTGGGTTCTTTTTTTGTCATAGAGTTGTAGATTCATGGAGCCTATATAATTTTAAAAACTTGAAATTCCAGGCGTACGTTTTGAACCACCTGAACCAGACACGTTTCGGAGTGCACAAAACCATACCTTGCCGCCAAAGACCATCATGGCACATAACGAGTTTTTCAAGGGGGGTTTTTTTATTGCACTTGTGCTACCGCTTCACTAGCGCAGAAAACGCCCCTACCCTCTCCCATAGTGTAGCACAAGTGTACATTCTCTACGGTAATAATCGAGTAAGCATCCGTAAGAAATTGGTGACTCAGAATGCCAATGAAAGAACAATCAACCTCTCGCTTCCACCCCCACTTCGCCCGCATACTCAGCAGAATACAGACAGACCAAGTTTGGCTACGGCACTCGAGTAGTAGCGGCAGTCTAGATGCATTTGTTACCCTGTGAGATCCCGCTCTACGGTAGTCGTGCGGCGTCTCTTCTCTACTCGAGTAAAAAAAATGTGGTTGCAATACCGGGATCATACCTCAGGTCAAGCAATTTTCTGTTTGTATAACGCCCCGCAAGATGTAGCCCCTTGCATACTGCTTCAATCTTCTGACCAGTGGGATACGATAGAGGAGTAAAAGGTTTCAGGACAAAGGTTCTTCAACCCTCGGTTCCAGGTTGGCAGGCCAGCGTACTATAATGTGGTCCAAAAATCTCAGTTTTCTGCTGACTACCAACTCGATAATATCGCTACTGCCAAGATACTTCTGTACTGTACAGTACAGCCCCGGAGTACTTCATAAAGACAGGAATAACCCCTGGGAAACTGCCGGGTTCCGGTTCAGGGAGCGGCGCACATCATGAGCTTCCTTGTTGAAAATGTGGCAACGCTTGTACTGTATTAAGCTCCCAGATTGATATCCTTTTCCGAGCTCCCGCTCCCACGGAGACTTTACCACTCACTTAGACCAACCATGGCGGCTATCGCCTATTCCCCAGCAGTTGTCTATGAGATCTAGCAGGTGTGGAAAGGGCTTTCGATCTAACTTTACCTCAATCTCTCCACAGTAGATTAAAGCAAGCGAGAACAGAGGTCGCTCCCTACTAACTCTACATCTGGAAAGGCACCCTATGTACCGGGGGCTGCATCTCCCGCGATTCTGGGGTATGATAAAAGAGACACTTGTAACAAACCTGGTACGTCCGTTTCGCGGGGCTTAATTGACGGGCTATGGGCACCCCACCTCGAGAGTCCCAATGGGGAAGGCGCCCTCTAGGAGTTAAACTCCAGTACTATACGGCATAGTGAAGGCGGCTTATTGCAACCCTACTACCGGCTGTTCTCAAATTTAAGCGCCGTGGATATTGGTGCTGTCACACCGACTAATGGCAAACCCCCATGATATCGAGATTACGGATCCCGTACGAGTACCCTCAATAGGCTTGCCGCAGCATGAAGGAGCTCTAAAACAATCTGGACAGGCGCCCCAAATTTGTCCGGACTATTTTCGCGGGTCGCGTCGGAATGGCAGATGCCGTGCGCGTCTAATACCGATCAGCTATGGGCACCCGGTTGCTTCGGCAATAACTGCAAAACCATTTCTGCTCATCCGGTAACAAGTACGGAGTACAAATAACTACGGATACGGATACGAGGGTTATGTTTTCTGATCTTTATGGGCCGGACGCTATGGTACCGGAAGAACTCGAATAATTGGCACTCGGGCTAAGACGTTGAATTCGCCTTTACCGGCATCGTCCGGTACAGTTCTGTCCTGAGCTGGGGCCTTAGGGGTAGGTTTTCGCAGCCCTTAGCCCCACTATCTGAGAGAGGGAATTGTGGACGTCGTAGCGCGAGTGCCAATTATTCGAGTTCTTCCGGTATGCCGGTACCGGTATTCCTTTCTACGAGTACCGGTACTGTACTTGTATAATCTGACGGAAAGCAGAATTATCCTTGTGCGCCACGTAGATCAAGGATCGGTGGCATTCGTAAACATATCAGGCATAAGAAACCCCTACCAATTCCTTCAGTACCGGTACCAGCCCCCTCGTCGGAGGAAAAAAGACTTTTTTTTGGCTGGCTCTCTGGGTGGTCTGTGCAACGTGGGCCCCGGTAGGGAACTGAAGGGGAAGGTGTCATGCGGCAATTCCAGGGAGCGCTTGCCCGCAGTACTTCATCAGTAAGCCTCGCCGGGGCGAGGCCGTTTGGTGCTATGGATTGCCGTGCTCGCAAGCTATCCTGGCCCTGGTGTTTGGCAAAGTGCCAACACTCGAGTACTTCCAAGTCAACCCAACGTTCATATATAATATCAAGTGAATCATGATTAAGGGGTTGGCTAGATTAAAGTATGTCTGGGCTCCCGCCATTGGAAGAGCGACAGGACAGAACTGAAATTGCGGCTCCAAAATTGCACCCGAGTATTTGTAAACTAGCTTCCGACCACATGACATGACCGTTCTAGGTGCTATGGTAGTCTTCCCCGGGGCTACTGGTAGTTTGCCGACTTGGGGAAACTCTATGGTGGGCGGGGAACTTGGACCTGAGCTTATCTCTCAGCCCTCGCGTCCCACCCTCCCTATCCTTCTGACTAGTTAGGCTAATTAAGTGACGGGGAGATACCTTGTCCGAGCTGTAAACTTATATTTCATGGCTTAGTATGATCTTGAGAATGTAAAGAATCTAAGCATATACGGCTGATCAGCTCCGAGTGATTCCGAATAGGTTATCGGGAGTCCACTGCCATGTTCTGGATGGCGATATAAATTTATCTGGACTGCTGAGGCTGGGGCGCAGGAGTAGTTCTCTCTTTCCTACAGAACCTATTTTTCTCGACGCTCGAGCCAGTCCATTTATAACACAGCGCGGGCTCAAAGACACAGCGGGGCCTCCTTAATATCATGAGGACTGAAATAATCGGTCCAGTGTGATATTTCGCTGGAGCTGCCTCCTCCCGTAAGCTCGGGTATTTAATCCGTTTAATTAGTCTCTTAGTGGGGCTAAGCAACTCTTCTCCTGCTGCATCTTCCGCCCCCTCCGGACAGGCAGGGAATCCTCGACCACTAGGGCGTGTCTGTAAAGATCGGGAGGCTGTTTCTACCATTTCCCATACAAACCTCTATAGAAGAGACGGCTGTTTTCCAATTTTTATGAGCACACCGGAGTGCATAGCATTTGGTTCGACCGCAGTTGTTATTGTACGGTAACCAAGTCCGGTTGAAAGCCGGTAAATTTTGGGTAAACTCGACCCACCGCTATTGCTCAAGGCCAGCACTGTATCTCCTAGGGCCTAAATTTAATACTGCGGGGAATGAGTCTTTCCGGTGACTCCAACTATCAAACCGTACAGATAATAGGCGCGGGTTGAGTTTGCCAGGTATTTAGGATATTCTGGTATGAGCGATACCTCCCCCTTTGCGACATACTGGCGATCTGAATGCCCTTCAATATTACGGGTGCTCGAGGTACTGTACCGTCAGAGTAGTGGTACCATGAAGGGATCCGGCATTTAATGATGCTACAAATAAGGTTCAGTAAAATGAATACCGACTCAGTTCCAATAGTACACCAGCACAAACATCACTAAATCTGTTCTCACGGTACAGTACATTATACCCCCATTCTGCTTGCCTTGGCCTGCATCGATGTATTGTACAAACCTGTTTGAACGAATGTCGATTACCCCCGCCACTATGCCGTGACCAAGTTCCTAACGATGGTATCTAGCACACCCGCCACCTATAGGAAGAAGGTTAGTAAACTACTCTTGACTCTCGGCGATGGTAGAAATTATGCTTACTTTTCTCGGCCATGGGTTCAGAATGGTGTCAACTCATTCAATTAGCGCTAATGCACCTAGTCAGGTACTGGTGCCTTACAAGTAGTAGTACAATCATAACGAACCTGAAACCATTTCTTTGGCACCAATTTTTCCAGCCTCAGAGCTTCCGTATTATCAACGAACTACCTTACCGAGTCATATTGGGAGAAAAAAAGATAAGAAACAGTGGTGTGAAACGGCCCTGTGGACAGGAGCGTGGACCCCGGAAATTCCCACGCTATCCGAATTAGTATGGTCCTCCGGCCAAGCACTTGGAGTAGCATACCGGTCGCGAACCACACTGCGGCCGCCCTGCCGGTCAATCCCCAAGCTTCGATAATTGTTGCCCCCCTTGACGGGAACGTAACGGCGCATGAACTATTGACCTATGATATTTCCCTTTTTCCCATTTAGGAGGTAATTTAGGATATCCAGAGTTTCCGCAAATGGGTCACACGCCCTCATGCCATGTAGATATTGCGGCTAAGTTCCACACTGATATTTCTTTGCTATATTACCCCCCTATCCCCACGGGGGGGCTAGTTTGTTCCTCTTCTTTAGACCTCGTCTTGAATGACTTTGGCAACGGACTGTGAAACAATCGCGAATGACGAGAGGCAAAACAACGACAAATACCACCCCTCCAGCGGAGGGGTTTGCGGAAAGACGTCTCGGGGGTATTTTGTATCAGAGGAAGGGCATAAAGATCTTGGGCATTCAGTTACCCCCATGGCGTTCGCCATTGGCCCAAGGTTCGTTAGCTCCAAGTTTTCCCCTCCCTTAGATTTCGGAACTAATTTGGGGTGCAGTGATACTCATTGGCTTCGTCTGTTTCCTTTGTCCTGGCATGTTCAACGCGCTGAGCGGGTATGTTCCCATAAGCCCAGTATTATTGGAGGTGGAGGCTGAAGTCAGAGCAGTCTGGGGGCCGGTGGCCAGGTTGATAGTGCAGTCCAAGCCAATGCCAGTGTGGCTTTGTATACCACGTTTGCGCTTGTTGGTTTTGTCGCTGGAACAATTCTCAATTATTGTAAGTAGCTACTGCGATCGGCACCACCAACGCTGACTCGGAGATAGTCGGCGCGCAAGCCACATTGGCGTTCGGAGGTCTCGGCTACGCCCTGTATTCGGCATCTTTTCTCTGCTATAACCACACTAAGAACGAGGGGTTTGTCCTCTTCGCCGGCGCTTTCCTGGGTGTCTGTGCCGGGCTCTTGTGGTGCGCTCAGGGAACAGTAATGATGGTAGGAGCGGCGAATTCGTTGCCACAATAAGAGACTAACGAGAACAGTCCTATCCTACCGAAAGCGAGAAAGGTCGATTTATCGGGCTCTTTTGGGCTATCTTCAACATGGCAATTCCCCGATTCCTATACTAAATAAATGATACGAGCTAACTTAACGGGTACAGGGCGGTGTTATTGGGTCATGCATTCCCATCGGTGGGATCCTCAAACCTCACCTATATTTACGCCTTGCTAACACGGCCTAGCTACCAACTGGAACAGCGAAGATGACGGCTCTGTCACTGATGGCACATACGTCGGCTTTCTGGTTCTTATGCTCTGTGGCGCAGTCCTTGCATTCTTCCTTGTCCCCCCGGAAAAGATTATCCGAAAGGATGGGACGCGTGTCCAACGTGTTCGCCACCCCTCGATGAAGTGAGTGGATCTACCTTCTCATCACCGCAGCCGCTTACCTTTTTGATAGGAAGGAGATCTATGGCCTTTGGGAAACGATAAAGACCGACACTTATGTCCTGCTACTCTTCCCATTCTTTTGGGCTAGCAACTGGTTCTATACCTATCAGCAAAACTGCTATCAACTTTTCTACTTCAACCTCCGTGGCCGTACGTTCACGTAAGTTCCCCCACCCCACCCTAACCGTGTCAAATCGAGTCGATCTGACCACAGGCAGTAATTTGTGGTACTGGCTTTCCCAAATCTTGGGTGCTCTGGCCTTCGGATTCTTCCTAGACAGCCAGCAGATTGGCCGACGCAAGAGAGCGATCTACGGCTGGGTAATCCTGTTTGTAGCTGTCTGTGTCATCGTAAGTTATATATTCGGTCTTTTATCGGATACTGCTGATCTCCCTTAGTGGGGTGGTGGTTTGAAGCCTTTGATCGCTTCGTCTCGTGATAAGTATCCAGATGATACCCCTTCCATCGATGTCTTTGGTAGGCCCCTTTTGGAAGCTTGGACACAACATTGGAAGGGTCCCATTAACGACCCGATAGATAAGGATTTTACCTGGTACCTTATACTTTATATGGCTTACGGATTTCAGGATGCTGTAAGTCGGACGGATGCCCAAGATATTGATAAGTATCACTAATAATGTCGTCAGATGTGGCAAACGTATGCATACTGGATGATGGGAGCCCTTTCCAATGAGCCCCGTAAACTCGCCTACTTTGCCGGCTTTTACAAAGGTATTCAATCCGCGGGAGCAGCTGTTGTCTGGCGATTGGATGGTGTTAAGTACAGCTACGCGACCCTGTAAGCCCCTCGCCTATAAAATCAACTACTTGAAACACTGGGTAAGGGATTGACTAACGTAAATCCAGGTTCGGATCCTCATGGGGCCTATGTGGAGCGGGAATGCTGCTCGCAATCCCAGTCATCTGGCGACGCATCAAAGACACCGAGCTCACGGAGGAGGATTTCATGACGCCTGCTGAGAAAGATATCGTCATGTCGGGGATGAAACCGGTCGGGTCGGAGCATAATGATGGGGTTTAATAATTGCGCGTTTTGAGGGGCAAACTTTTTTGTTATACATGTTCGTTAGTTGATTGAGCGCACTAGGTCAAGGGATTCATACATAAGTTACCTTGATGAAATGAAACGAGAACTAATCGCTCACATGCCAAGAGTGATTGCTGACATGGTGTGATTGATACCAATAAAGTATGGCATCGGTATGGTTGGTGGGGAAAAAATAAACATAACAACGTAATGGGCTTTTCTCGGATTGGATTATATCACTATATCGACTGGGTCGGTGTTGCCTGAAGAACCAAATTCGGGTGGACTTTGTAGATTCCTGAGAATGGGGTTGTCTTACAGGCCAGTGTTTAACGGCGCAAACAGGATTTTTTCGGGATTCCCCGCAATCTACCCGCTCCCAGCAAAGGAAAGGTGTCATCTGCTCTCTCCGAAATCGTGCTAAATTGCTTACCCGGTTTGGTGAAGGCAGCTATAAGTTATTTCATCGCATAGGGGGGTCGATTCTAAGCCACAACGGTCTGAATCTAGGATAGAGTTGGAGCTGGGCGCTTCTGTTCCCACAGGTTAAACTACCTAGCGCAGGGGCTCTAGGTGATGTACAGGTGGCAGTTTGTGGCTAATACCCCCTGCATCTATAGGTGCTGATCCATTGAGTATCTAACCTAGATACCCAGAGCGATCATTAAATATCACTCTTAACAAAATTTCCGACCTCCTTTGCCTCCGCCCCCGAACCTCCCCATACCCAGCCGAATGGGTATGCCGCCGCCAAAAACAAGGCCTGAAGCTCTTATCCCCTTAATTGATCCCAAATCTCATAGCCTTTAGCCGTGCCGTACAAGCTGTTACTAAATAAGAGTCGCGGGTCGGCAGTAGTGGGTGTGAAAGGTGTATAACCTATGTCACAGACAACAAAGGGAGCTTTGATCTTTGAGGCATCTGAGGGACCCAGCAAAGCACTCGAAGTCATCCCCGACAACGGCCCAGGCGCGGGAAGGAAAAAAGAACCCGTTACACCCACAACCTCCCGAATCCACCCTCTCTCTAGAGAATACCCGCAGAAAAGGAGCAGTGTTTCCTAAGCGGGATACAGCGTTCACGAGCGGAGCCTATTAGCTCCTTTTAGTTGGTACTCGTCATTTTATTACACCTCCCTACCAAGCATAATGTGGCCTACAGGTACAAGCGCTCCTTGGACTACAGCAATTCCCGCTACCTAACCGGATACAGTAAGCCCTGGAATGGAAGATATATGTGCTAGTGTTGTACCTATACGTTGTAACTACCTCCTACGGCAGTAAGGAGTGACTAGTATTCCATTTTATTCCCCCCCAACAGAGGGCTGAGCTTGCGGGGGGGGTTTTTTTTTTCATGTAACTAAGAAGGAAATTTCCTCCATTTTACTATTCGAGTTCCTATGGCAGTACCAGTAGCTTGAGTCTTGTATGGAGTAACTGTCACATTGGTTTACTTTCGGGTAAATCGCAGTAAACTGCAGTGGGTTGTGGTAGACATTGCAGTCGAGAACCGGAAGGCCTACCGTGAGCCTTGAGGAAAACCAAAGCGAGGGTTGCCGTAGCCATAATAGAGCAGCTAATACCGCAAAATCAATGAAGAGGATAGCGGGGTTAGGGTTGGGCTTTAGGTCCTGGTGAACCAATTGTAGGAAGAACTTCCATCCGAACACGAGAAAACGGGACGGTAAGTGGATACCAGCAGGTATCAGCAGTTGGCAGGCGTGGTTGTAATACCTTATATTGTGCTCAAGGAATTGGGTACGAGCAGTAGTCCCCATATTAGAATTGGGATTTACCAATGCAGACTAGGCTGCTCTATCCAGCATTTGAAACATCTCTGAACGGGAGCGTGCTACCCTAGGCGATGCGATATTCCGAAGTTCCTGGTGACTTGTACACATGATCTTAAGGTGAGGCTTTTTTTTCTTGACTCGCTATCGTACCCTTTCGCCTATTGCGCCCAGAAGAAAAGTCGTGGGAGAAGTCAGCCAAAATCGGGGCTGGAGAGAATATAAGAGACAAATCGACGAAAGCGAGAGTCTAACATTAATTCCAATGTCTCCAATATAGCCTAGGGGGTAACTTAAGCGTTGGGGCAAAGGGGGGGTCTGTTTCAATATGGGGATTGCTCTAGGTCCCCATTTAACCTAGGACTAAGGATGAACATTTCTCGATCGTTGCTCAAAGTCTTGCTGGTTCCCGAGTGGCTAGAAGTAGTGTGCAGGGGTTCGGCACGACGCTTCACCATTTTGAGAGAGGTTCAGAGATCCCATCAGTTGGCCATAACGGAAGCAGGATTCTCAGCTCTTACTATTCTTCATTCCTCCTTCCTTCTGTCTACAGCGCCACCACTGTCCTGAATTGGGCGGGATACATGTTCTTCCCTATCTCTGCCCCAAAAGTCTTCAATCTTTAAGAGCCTATTACAGCCCCCCCCCCGGCTCTAATATTGACTAATCCGCCATGATGCTAAGAGTTTTTGGGTTTTCGTAGAGCACGGCCCAATTGAGCTTCCAAAACCCCCAGCCCGCCCGTTTCAATGACATCCAATAGCCAGTTGTCTCATCGCCCTTCACCTTCAAAATGCCTGTGAACCACCCTTCCGCAGCTTCCCCATTCCTTCAATCTGCCAAAGAAACAGCTGGCCTAACTCAAACCAGTAAACCTTATATCTAATCTTCCCTAGAACCCTTTGTCAACTCTTCTGTCTTATCTAGCATCTGTCTTCTCCCCTACCAAAGCAGAATTTTTCGATAGCATAAAAGTGGATACTGTTAGCTGGCAGTATATCAAAGCACCAGGAGATACAGTATCCGTCCGATGTGAGTGGTTATCGCTCTCCCCCTTGGGTTCCAGCAAACACTAACACCCCGCACGTTTACTCTAACAGAGGAACCCACAGACCCGATAACACCCTCGCTGGGAGATATGGTCTTGATTTTAGAGGAATCAAAGCCTAGCTCGGGAAATTCCCAGCAGAACAGAACACAATCCTGCGATGATCCGATGTGTATCGAAGAGAGTGTTAACCTTGTTCCTGCCAACCGGGTCACCTCACCAACACTCGGGGCTCCTCAACCAAAAGGAGATATATGGTGGTCGAATGCTCTTGGATTTCTAGCCGCCCATCTTTTTGTCCTTCTCGCTTGGTGGTATCCCGCCGTCAGCGGGTGGAAAACCTACACTCTTCTCTTACTTAATTGGCAAGTTGGCATGTACGGTATTACCATTGGTATTGGCTCAATCTCCTAAACCCCTTAACCATGATTCATAATGTTTTCCATAGGCTACCACCGATTATGGAGCCACAGAAGCTTTACTGCAAGTACGCCGTTGAGAATATTCTTAGCAGGGATTGGAACACTAGGATTCCAGGGGAGCATCCGGTAACATTACTCGCCAATCAACTATCGGAAAAAAATCTGGGGAACCTTCCTGTACTTACTAATGGCGGGGGCTTAGGTGGTGGGTAGTGAGGCATCGCCTCCATCACCGTTATACAGATACCGAATCCGATCCGTATTCAGCAGCGAATGGCCTCTTTTTCTCTCACGTCGGTTGGATTTTTTACAAGACAAAATATCCCAAGCTTCCGTTAGTGCAAAAAGGAGACTTGGACAGCGATCCGGTCGTAGTTCTTCAGCATCGATACTTTCTAGAGTTTGCCTTTCTGACCTGTCTAGCCTTACCCGCAGCCATCGGTCATTTTTGGTTAGGCGGTGCGTGGGAAGGGCTTCTGTATGGGGGTATAATACCACGAGTAATGATCTGGCACTGCACGTAAGTTCTAGAAAGCGAGCTGTCTTGAGGTATAGTTGATCACTTATGAAAACTAGATTTCTGATCAACTCAATGGCGCATTATCTTGGTCATCAGGAGTATACAATTGAGGTAACCGCAAGAGGAAACCTACTCTTGGCAATGCTGACCCAAGGTAACACCATTCTCGTTCAATCTTGATTTTCCAGTGTGTTGCAGGCTATGTGGGAGTGGGTATCTGATTATTGTGGAATAGGAGAAGGGAATCACAACTTTCACCACGCTTTCCCCTCAGACTATCGAAACGGTTTCGAATCTACGGACTGGGATCCGACAAAGTGGATTATAACTTTCCTCTACAAGTTCACCTCTCTAATTCCATCCGTACATACCACCCCCGAAAAACAAGTAGAGAGGGCGAGAAGCCGAGTCATTGGCAGTGATAACCGACATGTGGAGAGAGACTTGGCACAGGTAGATTTGAGCCAAGTACCGGCGCTTTATGAGGGGAAGCCCGTTATAGTTATTCACGGGTTCCTCTATGACGTGGGTGATTTTGTTTCCAGGCATCCTGGCGGTGCTGCCCTAATGGAGAGAGGGTACGGGGGAAAGGATCTATCGGGACTATTTGAAAAGCTCAATAGGCATTCTCTTCAAGCTAGAGATCTGATGATGGACATGGAAATTGGACAGATTATTTCTTAACCGGTTGTCTATATACAGGCAGAACCGGATATTCTACTTTCTAAGGGCTTGCCTAAGTTGAGGAGTTTTTTTTTTTTGACCATTGATCTATTTGTTTTATAATTTTCTCCCTGGTTGGCAAATGGATTACTGTAAGCGCCTAATAACAAGAGAACGAGCTCGAGAGGTGTGCTCCGAGCGGACAAAAACACGCTGGATAAATTCGGCGATTTTTAAATCCAACAGCCTCTGGCCCACTAAATTAATTGAAAAAAAAAATTAAAAATTCTCTGGTCAATAAGGAGATAAAGAGGAACAACTCCCAGGTGTTCTTTTAGTAATTGAGGTTCCCGATAACTGCGCAATCGGTTTTGAAAAAGTTGCATTTTTGTCCGGATAAAGGAAAGCCGTATCATGTTCCACTGTATGATACTTCTATGATAACCACAGTCCGGTGCTCAGTAGTAATGTAACCAGAGCTTTGGAAGGAAGCTTTTGAAAGAAAACCTATCACAACGTAAAATACAGAAGTCAAACCCCGCACGAATCGAAGTTATCACCTTTTTTCGACTTTCCTCATGCTATGATATAATCTATTACAGGCATGATCGATACCCCTGAGCGGAAATACCTTTTTGTTTCCCTTGCCCCCAGAATCAGGTCTCGGCATCCAAGCTTGCACAGCCATATATATGGTTCCAGCCATCGATACGCAACACCTTGGTGGGTGCAAGGAAGGTAATGCACGTCTTGGCATCAAATCAGGCGCAAAAGAAACTATGGCGGGAATGGGAATTAAACGTCGATATGGTTTTCTTTTGCGGGAGACTTTCCGCCAAGGCGTCCTCCGTTGCATCCAATAAGGCGTTGTGTAGCGGGGGCCGGGACCATAACTACTTTTTCAGCCTGGTGCACATTTTGGACCGCCCTAACTATACTCATCCCCTAGCGCCTTTACCTGGCTTTAATGGCGTGTCAGTTGGGATGGGAGAATGCTTTGCGCCGCCTTCCATGAGTACTTGTAAATTGAGAGCCGCGTTTCTGGAGGGATACGCCGGCAGGAATTGTCTCGGGGATGCACTCTACCAGTACAGTTTCGAATAGTATCACTGGGTAACGGTCTCTCGAGATCTAGGCAATCACCGCAAGAAACCCGCAACTCGGCTCAGCTAGCAGCTATCGCTATTAGAAATTTATCCACCGCCAAAGCAGTCCACATCCCGTCACGGATTGCTGGCGAAGTATACCTCGTCTGGTCGGACACGGAAAACAAACTCTACCTGGATTCGAGTAGTTGAAGGAAGAGAAATGCCCTGAGAGTTAAGAGTGGTGTCTGGAGCTAATGGCGCCATTATAGCTAGAGAACATGAGTTAGAGGAGACTTCTAGAAAGGAAGCTGAAGGCGTCACTTTGTATTTTTATTCTGACCAGAAGGGGTGTTTGGTGGTGCCAAGTTTCTCATGTGTGAGAGAGAGTCGCGTAGGTAAGAATGGATACCGGATCGTGCTTCCTAGTAATTTAGGATCATAGTATCGTAGTAGTCTGTCACTGGGTGTAAGTATCTGTGGTGGGCGCGATACTAGACATAATCTTGGAAAATAATGACATAATACCAACCAACCCCCTTAAACACTATAAATGGGGGGGATGGATCAAAAAATGATCGGAGTTGGAAAGCACTTTTCGAGTTGAGGGTATATAAGATAGAACCTCTTCGGGCAAAAAAAAGAAAACAATAATATTTGAGGCAGTAATAAGGGAAACAAAGTAGAAGAAAGAAGCAAATAAACTGGTATTCAGAATGAAGTGGTCGAGCACTGCAGATATTTCTCAAGCATTGTGTCGATATCTCACTATCGCGCCAAGAGCCTATGCCGCACAATCCCAACGATTTCATTGCCTTCTAAAAATATAGTAATTGCGGAAAGAAACCCCCCTCATCCTGAGTCCTTTAATATCTGTTTTTATATATTTTGGGTTCAGGTTCACCTATAGAACAGATAGGATGATTATTTGCATGGTACTAGAAACCGCTGTAATTTGCTCTTTACTCCCGGCTTCGGCGCAATAAGTTTTTCCTGCTATTTTTACTCATATACTAAAATTTTAACCCCCCCTTCCTTGGATCCCCATGTTAAGAAGCCCCGATTTAACTCCCCCTAACCCCCCAGGTTCCATTACAGTACCGAAGGCCTTCCTTGTAACATTGAGCCCCCGGCAGAGACGCGCCCACAAGAAATTACTCTATAGGTCAGCCCACCTTTCCCTCAAGGCCCTTCCCACGATTCCCGCCGTGCACATCCCTATCCCCCGAGTGCGCAGCCCAATATTCACACCTTCATTGCAACTGACCGCTCTGGTAGTGGTCGGGGAATGAGAGCCGGGGGATGTGGTGAGGTCGGTGGTACTTGTGTACTAAGTTAGTACTCTTTGCGCGGGTAACATCCACGGGAAATATAGGCTAACCCAGGTGTGATTAATTCCGGGATGTCAGTCATGCAGCTTACTGACTCGCTTACGGTTACAGATTTCGGTATCTCACGGAGCTTTTAACCAGACGCATACGGGAAGGTGCTCATGGCCAGGAGAATATTACTATCGACGCGCTATTTATCCCCCGGGGATAACACATATTCTACGCTATTGATATGCAGTGCAGTTATAACGCTCCCCGCGGTACTCGTGCTCGTACTTGTGACTGGTGTAACATTGGCTAACCCCCATTTAGTGCTGTGTGCAGACACCTGTACGACTACTCCTATGAAAAGTGCGGGTCGTGTGGGACCGGGTGTCTCGGGAATCTCTGGTGTTCCACCGACTAACCATCCATGTCCAAGGATTATTTCTACGCCCAAACTTTACCATTACTATAACCTAGAATGATAGAAACCTATTTAGAAAGGAAGAAAAGAACCCTCTTTAGATCCATGGGGGATGTTGGATTCGGGCAATTTCAGTTGAGTAGTATAAGCCTTATGCATTAGCTGAAGGCACTCACTGAGTTTGTATCACCTGGCTGTTAAATAGTAATAAATACACAACCTGCAGGACTCGTAGTGATGCGCTGTACTAGTACTGTACTGTCCTTTCTGGTTACTCGGAGTACTTGGGTATGGACTTGGGATACCGGACGGCCAGGGATTCTAGAGACCTGATCGTTCTTGCCCTCATAGGAGATAAAAGGATGATTCTGGCATGAGAATTGCTCGAACGACCAAGAAGTTTTGACACCTCTAATCCCTGGCCGTACGGTCACCCACGTCCATACCCGAGTAGCAGTGAGCTAACTCGGGGGACGTCTCCGTGGTTAGTGAGAGGGTCATAGCGTATGCTTGGCACTTGGATGGTACAATCTACAAGTACTGTATTTCATGATTCCGATCCCAGGGAGAGGGGGGGGGTGCAAGCTTTGTCCTCGTTGGAGTGATGGATTCGTTATTCGACTGGGTACTGCACGAGTACTAGTACAGTACTCCCGAGGAATCGCTAATGGTGTGACTTCGCAATTGTTCAAGCACTTTAGAACTTAATATGCCACTAGTAATGTAGCGGTAAATTTAAGGCAGGGGTTATCAAGAGCGCACCAAGAGATCTGCACTTCCGCAATGAGAACACTTTCAATTCAGCGAGAAAACTGGCGGCATTTGATGCGTCAATTCTCATTTTCCTTCAATTTCTACATAGCCGGTGGTTCCGTAAAATAAAAAAAAACATAGAAGAACCTCATGATAAACCGTCAAAGGCGTTACATTGTTCACCATTATGTTTCCCAAACAATTCGCAACATTGCTACGATACCCTCTATGAAGTCCCAATAGCCTGCGGATTCCAGAACAAAAGCTCCGGATCGTATCGCCCCTTCAATTCCCTCAGCCGTTGGTAGTTGCTGCCGTAATAAAGCTCATGCGCCTCCTGCGGCGAGAGCGACGGGTCCACATAATTCACGTAGGCTTGAAACTTCGTCTCGGGCTGCGGCTCGGTTATACTTCGCGACATCTCGTTCATGTACTCGAATCCCCAAGGGGGGTAGGCGGTGACCGGAGGATTGGCACCGTCGATGTTGGAATACAGCTGGAATGTGAAGAATGAGTCGCGGATAGCATAGCTGCTTCCTGCCGGGTCCTGGGCGGCGATGTTGCTGTACTTCCCGCCGTACAAGTCTGCGATGACGAACCAGGAGAGCGAGGGCTCGACCCCCCGTTCGCCGAGGAAGGTGAAGAAGGAGGTCAGGGATTTGGTAGTCAATTTTGTGGGGGCGACGATGGATTTCGTGAACTGGGTCGTTAGTATGATGGCGCTGAAATGTATCGGGGGCGGACAGGAGAGGGGGAGTGATAAACTTACGAAGGTATCGTGCTTAGTGTAATTCTCTGGCTGCGGTAATTGCTCCCCACCACCGAGGACAACGAGTAAATCGATGTATGGATAGTCGGCTATCGTGGGGGTCGGGAGGCCGTCCTGTGGGAAGCTAGCCACCAGCGGTGCAATCAGAGTGTCAAACTCTGCGCGAGGACCCCAGTAGACGCAGGAAACGTCGATGAAGCCATTCGTCATGAACACCCCGAAAACTATGTTACTAGGAGCGCTTTCCTCAGAGAAGTCTTGCAGGGCCTGGAATATCTTGACCTTTTTCTCGACGGTGTCGCTGGCGCTGTCATCTAATGTCCAACTCCAGGAGGCGCGGACACCCGAGCCTGGCGCAGGATATGTTGTGAATTTGAAGTTTGTCACGATGCCAAATGATGATCCAGCGCCTCGGAGTGCCTAAAGAAATAGTTAGACTTTGCCTCCAATGATGGCGAAGGAGAGGCTCACCCAATACAAGTCCGGGTTTGTGCTTTTGGAAGCGGTGACAATATCTCCATTTGCAAGGACAACCTCCATCTCAACAATATTATCCAACGTGGTCCCCCACATACGCGACATATACCCAAACCCACCATGGAGCGCATGTCCGGCGATACCGACCCTGCGCATCTCGTCAGCTCAAACCCAACCCAGTATCACAACAAATCACCCACCCAGGACAAGTTCCATGCGGCAGGCCCCTCCTAGCATCGTTGTATAACCTAGTGGCAACATCTCCCAACCTCAACCCGGAACCCACCGTCGCAATAAACGTGTTAGGATCCACAATCACGTCCCGGAATTTCTTCATGTCAATCATCAAACTCCCATCTGCGCCCCCAAGTCCAAACGCAGCATAAGAATGACCCCCAGATCTCGCCGCGACTTTTGTCTTGAACGCGCCCGCGCACTTGACCGCGGAAGAGACGTGCTCTGCGGTGGTAGGCACCACAACAACAACGGGGAAGAATGGCAATCGGAGGTTGAAAGGCATCACGGCCGGGGCGTAGTCGGCGTCCGAAGCAGATATTAGAGGGACATTGGCAGCATCGAGACAGCCGATCAAGGTCTTATTGGAGGTGGTGGTGGTGCCATAGTCTGTTGGGATTGATACGGCGAGGTGGGCGAAGGCTAGGTGGGCTAAGATGGAATTGAGTTTGACCATTTCCGCGCACGAATGGATGCTATGTTTTGAGCAATTATACACTAGCCAGACTCTAAGGAACAGAGGCTGTCTGGTGGAGCGAAGGAAGGGGGATCATGGGAATTTATTAACCTGCCTTCCGCCCATGTCCGCCGTTCACCAAATTCATCAACATGCCAGAGAGACGGTGGGGAAAGGGGGGTGGTCAATTGGGTATGATACCCCACCGTAGCCTATTTCCCTCCCGGGCTTTGGAAAACCGGACGCTCCCCATAGCCTTTGTTGATAAGTTAAGCAAATTTGCCGATTCCCCACTTCTAGAAGGATATCGTATCAATCACACGAGTCGTTGTTGGTCTCGCGGCGCTATACGAGCACATGTATCCCCAGCCGAAAAGCTACCCGACAAAGTGCACTGCGGCTGCCGATTTTCCTGCTCTGCCGGCATAGAGCTGCACAGCAGTCTCCCTTTTCGACCGGTGCTGACGCAGGGTGGTTGGGGGGAAACCCCGCGGACACTACTTGGGGGCACTGTAAGGGCCAATCAAGTTTTAATTTTAATATATTTTATTTTTCTCGTGTTCTGGGCCAGGAGAGGGGCCTCTGAGTTGGAAAACCCGGGTTGTGCAGATCCACCGGTACCGTATTTGGGGCTGAAAGGGGAAGTGCATGTTCTCTGTGCAACCTGCTGAACTAAATTGTAACCAGGGACGGGAAAACAGGAATTTAGGGATGCACTGTACAAGTGTACTCGAGTACTAGTACGAGTACCGATATTAGGCCCCGCCAGGCTTCACCGTTTTTTCCGTTCTTGAGCACATTTGGGAGGTGCTGGGGCGGGCGGAGAACCAAGGGAGACGGCACAAAAAAAAGCCGGTTTCCGCCGTTAGTTGAGTACCGGTCCTTGTAGGGCCGGTAAGGCTTCGTACTCAACATGAAATTAGCTCTTCGGTTTTGTATTTTTCGGTGAATGCTTGTGATCTATAGCCATTTCAAGATTGCCAACTACCGTTAAAAGTCCATTGTGCGCACTTGTTGGTAAGGATTCTTTTAAATATTCCCTTCTTAGCCCAGTGCAGTTGTGTGGCCTGGTCAATATGGTAGTTAGTGTTGTTGGCTCGGGAAGAGAATTGGCCCCACGGGGCGAGCCTTCATACAGTATCAACTACCTAGCATGGCACTCTATAGTGTCCAAAAAAAATAAAAATGGGAAAGGAGAAACTTGTCGTGAGATGAATTTCAATAGTGGGAAGTCTCGAGGTGAGAAAATATTGTTATTATCTCTATATCGGGTACCAGTGGAGGCAATGGTTTGGCCCGTTCTTGAGAACAGAGTTGTGCCGAGCTGTGCCATTAGTTGATCTCAATGCTGCCAAATAGTAAGCACAAGTACTGTACTAACGGTGGTACAGTGCGAGTACAGTACGCTCTGGCATTACTTTGTTCCGCGGCCGGCGCATCGGCATTGCACAAGGTACTGTACTTCAAGTGCCACAACGCTAATGCTTGTCTGTTGATTACTACTAAACATTCGGAAACCGTCTCTTGTGCCGGCGCAACATCTCTTAGTTTCCTATGTTGAGCACTTCCCAAAACTGCTCGAGAATGCGAAAGTGGTCACGCGTGATGGGGCCACATACGGGTGCACTACAGGTATAGTACTGGTACCGGTACCGTATTACAGAGTGGATTGTCTGGCATGGTAGAATGCGGTCCAACGCTCGATAAAGTTCATCATCGTAAGGACTCGAACAACTGGACCACTTACTAGGACGTTGGACTTGCCTCTCTCGGTAAGATCTGCTGTTTTCCTTTTTTAATTGTCTCGGAAACCGTATTTTTTCGTGTGTATTTGCCCCTTTTCTAGAGGAGGGAATTTCGGACTACATTGTACTCGAGTACATGGTCCGATTGTTCGGATTCTTACGGCACTCGTATAATACCTATACGATGAGCTGCTTAGAATCTAGAGGAACCGAACGGAGTCAACCCTTTTATGGGCTGTTTACCGAGCTTGTGGGTTCCCACTCAAGCATGGGCCTAGAAGTACCACCCTGTTACCTCCCCGAGGCTTTGCATCCGTTCAGAACCCGGAATCCCGGGACTAAATGTGGGCTGCTCAGTGTCATACCAGATTTTGTACTTCTTATTCATACAGGCTCGCTAAGTACATTCATCAATACGGGCCCATTCAGACTGGTTGCCTGAGGAATATCCTACCGGTATCACGAAATGGCCTCTATGTTAGTTCGGGGTTCCCGAACATGCCTAAACAAGTACCGGCAATTGGCCGAAGCTTTAAGGTGTTTTAGTACTGTACTACTTGACTTGGGTTTATCCAGCCCTGCTTCCGGACCTCACGCAGTTCCCAATTGGCTTCTCGACAGTAATCATCAATATCGGATAGCCTCGGCGGACATGCAAGCTTCCGGCTAGGCAGGGGGTGCATCTATACCCCATCCGGGCTTCCGAGTTATCCATACCGAGACCACCCTAGTCCACTACTCGTAGGTATCGTTGAGGGGTTTCCTAATATCCCCCCCATACGGCTCCATTCACCCAACCCCGGCCCTCGTCCACCATCATCCCACAGGGCACGGTGACGGCACGATAGCGCTAGCGCGGAATTATGTTGTGTCAGTACAGTAGCCTGCGAGAGCTTCGGCACGACATTTGTTACAGCTCCGAGCGCGATGGGCGATATCGGCGATTTTCAAAGTGATATCCTACAAGCTAGATGCAAAGGTTGGCCATATTACTAGTTAGTATTAATTCTTGATCTTGTATGTATACTAGTGAGAGATAATTATGAGCCAACCTGAACAAGGCTAACACCACAAGACTCAGTCCAGGTTTATAAACGAATCACGGTTCCCTCTACTACACACTGTGCTATTTATGGATAGATGAGGTAACCTATTATCAGCTGAGCGCGCTCCGGTACGATAGAGCCTTATCATTGGTTCATTGTATTGGTGGTTGCTGGGCGTTATGCAACGCATTGGACCGGGAAGTAGGTCAGACGTAGATCTAAGTCGCTTTGTATACGAATTTTGCTTACATCCCCACGGCAGAACTTTCCCTAGGACCAAACTTCCGAATTCACTTCAATGTAAATATAACATGCTGCGGTATCAGGAACCTCCCCTACTCTCCCGAATTTCCCTTCATACTGCGGGGCAAGTGATATTCCCAGGTCTCTACTTTTTTGGTACGCTTTGGCTGGCTCACTACTTGTCACCGGCTTCCCCCCAGCGCGTCGGCTCGAAGTTGTGTGGGCGTAGAAATTGAATAATCAAAGCTTAGAAGAATGGGATACTAAGATAGTATGTCACTCGGCTCTATGAAAAGGAGTCTAGTATGATACGGGGGGTGACTGCTATCCTGGATGAGGTGCGAAATGAGGGGAAGAGTGTACGATGGCCCTCGAACTTTAGCCGGATTTTCTATCGGAATCAAACCATTAGTATTTAACACGAACCTTGGTTGTGTCATTTCGATCACTCGGATGGAGCGAGATTTTTGATAAAGTGCGCGAGGTGAATGATAGAAAAGAAAGCAAAGGTCGGGGGAAATGGGAACCAATAGGGAGGTATAAATTGGTATTGAGGAGTGGTTTTTCAGTACCCTGCGGTCTCCACATGCGCTAGAGACAACTGTACCAATACCCATACGGTAGAGGCCCACCTACGGGCAATGGGTTGAACCCGGATGCTAAGAGCTGAGCATACTTCCATCACACTAGAGCACTATCCAGATTGTGGAAGCCCAGGTTTTTTTCATCCGATATTCACTTTTGTTTGGCTACCTGTAGCAGTTTTCCGGTCATTTGTCGCGCAACCAGTAGGCGGAGCTCCCGGTGAACCAGATCCCCCCCTTGCCTCTTGAGCGGGCCAACGCTCCACCTAGGCCACAAATTGGCCAACGCCCTCCCCTTCCTCTAAATGCATCTTACCATAGTCCCCAATAAAAAGAGGGGCCGTTTTCACGAGTCCTCCCCCTATTGACCGCGTCTCCCACTCCCTTCCTCGATACCATATTTATCCCTCATGTATATTCTCATCTCTTATTAAAAAATCAATCCGCAAACCGCTTCCCTGACAATCTCCCTTTTACTCTTCCCATTTTAGTAGTGACCTATCACAGCACACGTGACTTCGCAACTCTTGCTAATATCCACGACAATACCCATGCCTCCCGGTGAAATCGGCACTCATATTTCTCCGGTGCCTTGGCAAGGGTCATCGCCACGTATAATACGGTACCCTCTATCCAGGGGAGTGACTATTTTTGCAACCTCGCGACAACTCCATGTCACCTCAATTGATTATATATCAGCTCAGGGTATCGGGAAACGGTACGGACTCCAAACTACCCAAAAAAATCAGTTAAATCGGACATGCCTGGTGTTGCTACATTGTCTCTAAAAATCGGAATTTTCACAATAGGTATCATGCGTTTCTCAGCGGGGGCCCATCATGTGCGAATCCCGGGGCTCGGCACCACCGGTACTATAGGCACCTTGGGTTTCTCTTGCATGTACGGTACTCGAGTACAGTACTCGTACAGCACTGGTGCAGTATGATGCCAGGGCAAACTCTCAATTAATTGCGCATGCACGAAGCCGCCAAGTTCCTGGCTACCCTCAGATGTGTTCTGGTAATAGCCTGCCTTGAGGGCCTTAAAATACCGGTACCGGTGCTGCGGATTCAGCTTAGACCAAACTTAACCGAGCGGGGTGACCTCACATGTACTGTGCTGTACTCGGATACCGGTACCGGTACAGTGCTTGCCCTTTTTCCAGCGGGCTATGACTGATGTCCAAGAGCCACCGTACTCGTATACTGTACTACCCGAGTACCGGTATGTCCGCCCGAGCTTGGGGGCACAAAACGAAACACAATGCAAAAATTTAGGCGCAAAGGAGGATTTCTCTATTTTTTTTCTTTCTTTCCTATCTGATTATACCCGGGCGTCTTTCCTAGAAATTCCACAATTCAGCTGCTCACTGTTTGCCTTATGGCTAACCATTCTAGTCTATAATTTAATAGCTGTAAAGAAGAGAAGAAACTTAGGGATGACGTGGGGAGAGTGACAAATCGTAAGGGATAATCAAGCATAACTAGAGCTGAAACAACGACGAACCAAACAACTAATAGAGATACTGGTTGAGGATGGGCTGGGAGATATATATATCTCTTATTAGAGGGCTGGAAACGAAACGAAACTATTTAG